ACACACACACACACACACACACACACACACAGAGGGAGGGAGGGAGGGAGAGAGAGAGAGAGAGAGAGAGAGAGAGAGAGAGAGAGAGAGAGAGAGAGAGAGAGAGAGAGAGAGAAGGGGTGGAGCGGGCTCTACACTCGGGTAGATGCTATGGTTACACTGATGGCGCACGGGTATGGCTCAAGCACCTGGGAGAGGTCCTCAGGTCCCAGCTCGCGTCCTTCGATTTGGGCGTGGATCCTGACAGTAGACCATGGGTCTCAACTCGAGGTGGACTGTCGAAAAAGAAGGCCACACCAGGGGTAGGATGGAGCACCACAGAAAAACTGTAGAGAGTTGGAACGTCGTAGTATGAGTATGCCGTACAGCATCCCTCCAATTAATCTACTGGAATTCCAACCTCGCACGTGTGTGTCTCGCACGTGCGCAGCAACACTAAGGGCAACGCCCGAGACGATGCGTTGGCAATACTCAATACCCGAGACAGTGCGTTGGCAATACTCAATGCCGAGAAGATGTGGTCTCTGTGGTGGAATTCGACCCCTCTTCCTCCAAAAAAGTTAACAAACTACTTCGCATCAGTATGTCGGTATCAGACACGGTGGCAACCATGACGACTGTTCACGATTGTGCTTGTGGGGGGATAGATGCCAGGCAAGACTACCGTTTTCACCCGAATAGAACGCCCGGTCATTACAGCCGCATTTGGTGCAACTTTCACTCTAGAATCTAGATGATGCAGCGATAATGACCGGGCGTTCCATTGGGGTGAAGACGGTAGGCAACGCGTGATGAGTGAGGTGGACGGAACTTCAACGAAGCTCTTGGGACCTGGGAGTTGGGTCCGTTAAGCGCCCAGGACAAAATGGACGTCCGGCCCGGTCCGGGTAAACTTTGCTCACATCACCGTACGTAGGTAGGTAGGTAGGTAGGTAGGTAGGTAAGTAGGTAGGTAGGTAGGTAGGTCATCCTTGCTCTTGTTCCTGATGAAATCCGGGCCGTACAATGTCATGCATCTCCCGGCGACGCGTCAAGGAGACTTCTGACGGGAGCCTGCATGCCCACAATGCCCTAACTTAAAGCGGAATTTACAAGATTCGTACACGTGTCGTCTCTGTAGACTGAACTGCTGCGTGCGTGCCACTGGCTGTTGCCGGGCTTTCCCTCCATTTAATACACGATCCAAAGGGACGAATTTGGACTTCATTGTCGCCATGTACATCCATCGATGGCAGTCCGTCCCCGTCCAAGCGTGAGCATGCCCTCCTAAGCCTCAGAGCGAGCCGAAAGAAGAGCACTGTCTAGCTGGCCGAGAGAGTGCCGGCATACCCCGATGACTGAGAACACGGGGGCACCGTAGATCTAAGCTCTACAACGGCAGATAAGATGCCTCGCATTCTATTCGGACAATCGGGCAGGGGGCAGTATGGCGGCCTTCCAAAAGCCCATGCAAGGTCTGCGGACCATCATCACGTCGGTTCTGCTCTCTGCGTGGCCTCGGGAAGTCGACAGATCGACGGAAATCTATGGGAGCAAAGCTGGGCGCCTGTCAACGAGGCCGTGGAAGACTATCTCTCGACTCAGGCTCAGTAAACGAAGATAAGAAGATGTCTCCCTGGTCGAAAGCTGGCGGGGGCAGCACGTTGAAACCGCCGTCGTTGGGTTCGAACGAGCGACTATTAGAAGCAATAGGGCGATCCTCGTCAGTGTCGTCGACGTCGACGATCCGAGGATCTAGCGGTCTGCTTGGGACGTACATCGCAGCTTCCCACGAGCTGCTATCTTGATTGGCTCGCCAAACCTCGTCCGCAGATCCGGGTGCCAGATCGGCGTCCGACTGGTTGATCCTTTTCAGCACCCGGACGGCCTGCAACATGCTCGGCCTCCTGTCAGCTCTCTGGCTAACGCAGCTTGTCGCCAATGTCGTCAACAAATATAGTTGATCGACGTCGAACTGTCCTTGCAACTTGCTGTCAGCCAGGCCCCTCGCAGACTCTTTGTCCTTCACGGCGCTCGTGACCTGGTAAACGAGCGACTTGTCGTCCTCCAGTGGCCGCCTGCCGGTGATCATCTCCAGCAAGAGGACGCCATAGCTGTACACGTCCACCTTCTCCGTCACACCTTTGCCCCGGAACACTTCCGGGGCGGTGTACCCGACCGTCCCCGCCGGGAGAGTCCGGAAGCTGTCGCCTTGAGGGTGGATCTTCCGACAGAGTCCGAAGTCCGCCACCTTCGGTGTGAAATCTGCCAGCAGAAGCACGTTCTCCGGCTTGATGTCTCGGTGGACCACCGGGGGATTCAGCAGGTGGTGCAGGAACTCGATGGCCATGCCCACTTCCTGCGCTATTCTCACTCTCGTTGCCCAATCCAGGACCGCCGCGTGGCAGTCCGCCCTGCATCCATGGAGGTGGTCCCCGAGCGTGCGATTGGGGACAAACTCGTACACCAGAAGGTAGCGCCCCGGCTCTTTGCAGAAACCCAGCAGCGTGACAAGGTTTTTGTGCGCTACCCTCCCCAGGATCGCGACCTCGTGGAGGAACTCCCGCTCACTTCGCCAGCGACCCTGGTTCAAGGACTTGACGGCGGCGACCTCTCCGGTTTCCAGCATGCCTTTGTACACGACCCCACTTCCGCCTTCGCCTATGACGGACGTGAAGTTATTCGTTGCATGCTCGAGCTCGCTCAAGGTGAAACACCTCAAGTCCTGCACGTCCCCGGGCAGCCTTACAGTTTCTTTCTTTCTCTTGAATGAACAGCTCCATGATCGCCTTGGCCAACCCCAGGCACCGAATGCCCCGATCATCGCAACAACAAGTACCCCGAGAGGTATCCCGATGGCCAGGGGCAGGAGAAGCCTAGTACCCGTTTCACCTGGGCTCGGTTGGAGGGGGACCCGATCCAGCGGGAAGATCGGTCCCGTGGCATTGCAACCGGTTGATACGTCGCTGCAGCTGCCACAGCTGCTGCCATTTAACTCGGTGGAGTTGTTATCGACATCAATGATGAAATACTGAGGACCATTAACGGCTATCTTCGCTTTGGGATTGGGAAAGCCGTGTTCGCTATCGGTGATCGAGCACTGCTGCAGCGCCAGCCTGCTGGCCCCTGTGATCCAGGTGGCATTCACGTCGTAATCGGGGGGTTGGTCACCACTCGTGCTCGCCGCGTGGCGTTGCCCGGTGAAGCTTCCGCCGCAGAATTGCACATGGTGGATGGGCTCGCCGCTCGTGTTCACTCCTAAAGCCGCAACCGAAGGCGGCTCCTCCGTAGACGTTGCTTCGGGTTGCACGAAGATAGCGACAACAGGGCCGATTACATTCCCTTTGTTGAAAGTGCAATTGACGAAGGACACTGTGGACTTCGCCGGTCGGCCATCCACAACGTCGATCTCAGGCGGGGGCGAGGGAGCGCCTCCCTCCCCGCGTCCCTCTCCCCCTCCCCCTCCTTCTCCTCCTCCTTCTCCTCCTCCTCCCCCTTGTGCGGACGCGGGTGTGATGAAACTCAAGAGTGCTGAACCCCTTTCTGCCTGCCCGAACGTGCAGTCGCGTATGCTCAACCATCTAGGGTAGGCAGTCGGTCGGAAGGTGACCTGAAGGGCGAACCGGTCTTGAACGCTAGCAACGAACTCCGAGCGGGAGATGCAAGCTCGACGAGGGATGCCGAAGAGAATCACGCCATCGTCGTTCTCTACGAAAAAGCAGCCGTCGATCGACAGGCGTGGTGGGGCTGAGGTGTCCTTCTCTTGCACGACGTTGTACTCCATCCTTAAGCATCCGCATTTGCGAAAGACACAATTCCGTGCGACTAGCCTCAAATCCACAAAGAAGAAGCTCAGGCTTCGGAACTCAAGGTCATACAAGGAGACGGATCCCCAGGGAGAGGGCGGATGTGGGCCAACAAAGCTGCGCTCGTCGCCTGGGCGGTCTCCCACTCCGTCGATCAAGCATCGGCGGTCGCCGCAGTGACCCCTGAGTGTTACGTTTGCATTCGGCGGGAAGTTGAGAAAGCCAGGAAGTCCGTCAAACGCCAAGTCCTGCATGATATGAATGGTGAAAGAAGGTGCTGAAGACACGTTAGTCGAATTCAGCACCTCGAAAAGCTGCGAGCCATTACTCACTCTCACCTCCTGACCTTCAACGTTATCCCCTCCTTCGCGTAACAACGACCTAAGGCTTGGAAATGTGTCCTCCTCCGCACTGGTAGTCCTGGCCATGCTGTGCATCTTCACGCCAGCAGTTTCGGAATGATCATTTTCTTCGTCGTCTGATTGGCTTTGCTGCTCCTCGGCAGAGACCGACGCAGGGGACAAAGTCTGTGCCGCACGATGCCATGCGAACTCGCCTCTTCCTTGACAGTTGCCCGCTTTGCAGGCGGTGACACTGGACCCATCCGACAACCGTCCGGCCGACGCTTCCAACAGGGGGCTGTTGGTATGGTCGTGCTCTGCAGGCACAAGTTGCCATCGTCCTGATGATCTGTGCTTTCTAGCATTTACCATCAGAGTTTGGTTTGAATATGGTGGTGATGATGATCGACTAAGGCAGTGCCATAGAGACGCCTCGACTAGAATGGGAAGGACCATCGCAATTGCGATACACGCTGCTAACCTTGCTCCCGCCAGAGCCATCTCTCTCTCTCTCTCTCTCTCTCTCTCTCTCTCTCTCTCTCTCTCTCTCTCTCTCTCTCTCTGTGTGTCTGTGTCTCTGTGTGTGTGTGTGTGTGTGTGTGTGTGTGTGTGTGTGTGTGTGTGTGTGTGTGTGTGTGTGTGTGTGTGTGTGTGTGTGTGTATCCGAGCGTGCACTCCCCACCTCCACTAGAATGGAAAGGACCATCGCCATAGAGACACCTCGACTAGAATGGAAAGGACCACCGCAATTGCGATACACGCTGCTAACCTTGCTCCCGCCATAGCCATATTTCTCTCTCTCTCTCTCTCTCTCTCTCTCTCTCTCTCTTTCTCTCTCTCTCTCTCTCTCTCTCTCTCTCTCTCTCTCTCTCTC